CAGAGGGAGAAGCAGGCTCCCCGCTGAGCAAGAAGCGGGACCCCGGGATCATGACCTAAGCCAAAGGCAGACGCTTAACCGACTGTGCCACCCAGGCACCCCGAGCTATAATTTTTTGAGCTTTTACAAGATGTAAAAAAAATACATAATCCTGTAAAAACTACTCATTCTTTGGAGCACTTCCTTCCCTGTGAAGAGCGTGGTTCCTGGGCAGCTGTCCTAACCTGCCCTTGAAGAAAACTTCTATTAGAAATAGAGAAACTTGGGGTGCCTGGGTGGCTGTCGAGCGTCTGCCTTCGGCTCAGGTCATGATCCCAGGGTCCTGGGATCGAGTCCCACATCGGGCTCCCTGCTTAGCGGGGAGTCTGCTTCTCCCTCTCTAATAAATAAATAAAATCTTGAAAAAAAAAAAAAGAAATAGAGAAACTCTATTCTTTCTTACAGAGATTCTAAAGGTTTGTTCATTTTTCGTCAACACCAAGTCTTCCGGTTTGCCTGGGACATCCTGGCCTTAAACCTGAAAGTCCTCTCTCCCAGGAGACGATGCAGCCTGGGCTAACATGGGTGGTTGGCCACCTTTGACGTGCATGTTTCTACCACACCATCAAGCAACTAATTCAATTCTCTGAGGACTCCAAGGGCGTGTCCCACCAAACCAACTCAATTCTGGTACTGTCTATCCCGGAGGTGGCGTCAGATCCCACAGGCTAGGGGCTCAGGGCCACCGAGCTGCTTCTTCCCCTTCAGATGCCAGGTGCAAATCCAGGCTGTCGTCTGTGCTTCCGATAATTAGCTACAGATCAGGGTCAATGAGTTTGCTAGAGCGGTTCCCAGATCTCAGGGAAGCGGCTTATTCACTGGGTTACCGGTTTATTACAAAGGATGTGAATCAACCGCCAGATGAGGAGATGTGTGGGGTAGGGGTGCTGAACTTCCATGTCTGGGGGGCCACTCGCCCCATGATGTGGTTTGGAGCATCGGGGTCCAGAGCTGATGGCTAAGAAAGAAGTCTTGAGACGTCTTTGGTGCAAAAGGTGGTTTTATTATAGCACAGGACAGGACCCATGGCCAGAAAGAGCGGCTTCTGTGGGATTGTGACCAGTAATTTATGTACTAGGGAGTTGGGGGAAGGAAAGACAAAGGGAAATTTCCAAAAGGACTGTCATATGCTAAAGACTCTCAGGATACAGGAGGTCAGGCTATTGTCAAGCAAGGGTGGTAATCGCTTTCTCGGCCTTTTGGCTTAGCTCAGGAGAAGACAGCTGGGAGTTTCCTGGAAGGTCACACTCTGCCCGCCTCGAGTATTCAATGGGCCGCAGGTCATAAGGACGTTTAATTTTATCTACAACTCCTTCTGCCTCTGTTCCCCACATCAACTCCCCCCTTGTGCCCCCCATCCTGCTGCAGACCTGCAACTGGGCCCATGCGGAGGGTATGTGGCTTTGGGTTCCTGACTTGGATCATTAATTCCATGAAAGGGCCTCTATACTGCATGTGGCCTGGGGCTCTTTGTTCGGGCAGGTGGTGGGGCTAGACAGGCCAACGCCCCCATCACTGCTCAAGCTGGTAGCATGTTCCTGCTCAGGGGTCTCAGCCCAGCCTGCACCTGGGGAGCTTGAAATGACAGTGGCCACAGACCTGCTGAGTCAGGGGCTCTGTGGTGGGCTTAGCGATCTGGGTTTTGTCAAGTCCTGCAGGTGATTCTGATGCATGCTCTACCTTGAGAACCACTAGATGAAGCTGGAGGATGTCTAATTATGGACATAAATGTGTGGTCTGCAGGTGAGGGCTGCAGATGCTGTGTGTGCAGGGGGATGCCCGCTGGGGAGGAGGCTGCCTGGAGGGAGGGGTCTGCCCTGCTTGGGGACCTTCTCTGGCAGGGCCAGCTGAGGCCAGGCCTGGGCTGATACCCTGAGGCAGTCTCCAGAAACAGGATTCAAAGGGGTGCCTGATAGTTCAGTCAGTTAAGCATCCGACTTTTTTTTTTTTAAGATTTTATTTGAGAGGTGGGGGTGGGTAGGGGCAGAGGCAGAGGGAGAAGCAGACTCCCAGCTGAGCAGGGAGCCCGATGTGGGGCTCCATCCCAGGACCCTGGGATCATGACCTGAGCCGAAGGCAGACGGTCAACGACTGAGCCACCCAGGCGCCCCAAGCATCGAACTCTTAATTTCTCAGGGTTGTGAGACTGAGCCCTATGTCAGGATCCCTCTGCCCCTCCCCACCAAAAAAGAAGCATGAACCACAGCGTCAGGTACTCCCAGTCCATTTCCTGTTTATGTGACAAAGTCCCACTAATTTTCAAATAATCCTCTTGAAACCTTCCCACCTTGTCCCCGTGGGATGGAGGGGAGCCGGATGAGACTCTGGTGAAGCTCTGGCTCGAAGTCTAGCTCTGCATCTCACTGGCTGTGTGACCTTGAGAAAGTTTTGTCTTGTCACATTACCGGTCCCTAGAGCCCCCTTCCACCTGTTTCTGAGAGGACTCCAAGAGACTGCTCACAGGGGGTAGGTGGCCAGAGCGTTCCACATCCGGCATCTCTGTCCAGGGCAAATCCCTGGGCCTCAGAGGCCTGACATGGCAGGGACCAGGACCAGCTCCCAAGCCCACGCAGCTAAGTGCCATCTGCAGCTCCCACTGGAGCCATCCCGCACGCCCAGGGGCAGGGTCTGTAGCATCCCTTAATCCAACCGTGTTAAATGGGCTCCAGACCACCAGCCTCTGTCCATCCCTCCCTCTGCCCCAGAGTCCCCTGCCTCTCTAAGAGCTCCTACAGATCCCTCCAAGGCTGTCCAAAGTCCCAGGCCCTCAAGTGCTCCCTCCGTCCTCAGCTGAGCTGAAAATGAGCTCTCCTAGTGTCAAAAATCACAGACTTGATGAGTTACCTGGCCAGGGAGCAGCTCTGCTCTCTTTCACACGGCCTTTCTGGAAGTAATTCCTTAGTTTACTAAGAGGAATGTAGTCTCCATGACAAAATCTGATGGCACACTGACCACAAATAAAAACAAGGCTGGTGAAAATGCCCAGCAAGTGACTCCCGTAAGTACAACTCTGAAGTAGGGCCCTGGAGCTGCAGAACCAGGGGGCTCTGGCTTCCACCCGACGACCAGCCTGGTGTTTGAGGACAGCCCTGCTTCCCCCAAGTGGACCCCATTGTGACTGTATCCGTCTAATTCCTTAGCTATCTTTCTTGGAAAAAGCACACGCTCTTCAGGCTGCAGGCTGCCAGGAGGAATCACCCCATTGCAGCTATGCTTCTCATGATATTGGGGTCTCTCTCCCATGAGCGTCAAGCTCTTTGACCACTGGATGATGCCCCCACTTCCTCACTTCTAAAACAGGTCACGGACTCTAGTTACCAAGTATTTTAGAACTTCTGTGTTGTGCAATTGTTGCAAAACTCTGTTGTCTTAAAATGTCATTGCTGGGGGATGCCTGGGTGGCTCAGTTGGTGACACGTCTGCCTTCGGCTCAGGTCACGATCTCAGGGTCCTGGGACTGAGCCCCATGTGGGGTTTGGCGCTCAGCGGGGAGTCTGCTGTCTCTCTTCCCCTCTGCCCACTTGTGCATGATCTCTCTCACAAATAAAAGAAACGCCATTGCTGAGGGCACTGTTTCAAATGTCGCAACATCCACTGTGTTCTGGTTAATGTTGACAAATGCCCAACGTCCTTCAACTATCGTTAAGTTGTTGCTGTGGGTTTGTGTTGTTAGGGTGAAAACGTGTTGGTTTCTGGGGCCACACTTCTAAACCCTGGCAGGTGTGTATTCTGTTTCCAATGGCAGGAACTGGCCAGGTCGCCATGCTAGCCCTGAGGCACCCTTCTTCTGGCACTGATACCTAGGGCAGTTATCTATCCCTGGGGTGGTTTCTCACACCGGAAGGACGGGGCACAGATGAGGCCACGCTGCCTTCAGTGCCTGCACAGACAAGGAGGCACAAATACACAATGACCAAGAGTCCTGGCACATTGGCCCTGGGGGTTAAGGGCAAGCTAAATTCAAAGGGCTGTGGGGCCCTCCCAGGGAGGAGAGGGGAAAGAAGTTTTACAGGGCAGACGCTGAAACCCAGCATGCCGAATGGGGCGGATTTTAGATCCCCAGGTCAGACTGCAGAGCCCACCGCAATCCCGCTTCCCTCGCCGCTGAGGCAGGTGAAGGACAGCAGTGCCACACGCCAGCGAATGGCATGGGGGTCCCCGGAACGCCAGGCTGGCGGGCAGTCCCCCGTGAGACCCCGCGCCCCAGCCGCCCCCCGAGGGCTCCCCCCACGCCCTAGCCGCCCGCCCCGCTCCCCGAGGACTCCCCCCGGACCTGGGGCAGCGAGGGAGGTGCATGGCCCGCTTCCGCGGACAACTGCCACGTCCCACCCCACTGTGGTCACGCCAACATTCTGGAGAGCCAGTGGACGCCGGCAGTGCGCATTTCTCCAGCAGCCTCCCAACAAGCTCGGTGGGGAGGCGAGAGGCGGGGGTGCGGGCCCAGGTGCGTCTCCGCGAGGAAAGGGGGCGAGCCCCCCGGCTTCTCTGACTCAGGTGACCGCTGCACTGCGAAATCTTCTCCGTGCGCACGGGGCGCGGGGACCAGCGTGGCGTCGGCACCATCAGGTCCCGGGGCCACCTTGCCGGACCGCCTCACGGCCTTAGCGTCCACGTCACCGACCCCCGGCCGCCAGTGAATGCCTCCTCGCAGCCCCGCAGGCGCACCGAGCCGCAGCGAGCCCCGTCGCCCCTGCAGCCCGCCACCTTGCATCCGCGCACGCGCACTAAGCCGCGCCCTCGCCGCACCGGGGGGCGGGGGAACACAGCCCGCGGAAGGAGGGCCGGACGGTTGGGGGCGGGGCGAGCCGGGACCCGCGGCTGCGCACTCGACCGTGCCGCGCACCCCACCCACTTCCGGCTGTGGCTCTTCCGGGGGTGGGGGGAGACTGTCTACCCCCGCAGTGGAGGTGGACAGTGTCCTGCTGACGTCCACCCCACAGACCAGAGGGGCCGCGGCCACCATGGCGTCCGGCGGCACTCGCGGGCTGATGCAGTGTTGGGAGCTGCTCCTCAGCGCCGTCGCGCTGTTCCTGCTGCTGCTTTCGGCGGCCGCGGCTCAGGAGCAGTCCGGAGCGGGTGAGGGGCCCGGGGCTGTTGAGAGGGCGCGGGGTCCTGGGCGGGGCGGGGAGGGGTCGCGGGGTCGTGGAGGGGGGCGCGAGGCCCCGATCCGGGCGGGGCGGGGAGGTGGAGGGGTCCGCGGGGCCCCCGTCCGGACGGGG